CTGATTTTTTTTTATTTCAAATTTTATTTTATTTTTTTTTTTTTCCAGAAGGGGCTTATTTGGCCTTTGATTTTTTTATACAAACAATTAATAGATGGGGCAGTTTCATGACTGTGTGTGTTTTATAGCACTTGGCAAATGAGTGCACAGGTAAAGCTGGCAACTGAAGTGGTATAAAACTGTGGCTACTCTTTTTATTCAGGATATATTTTCACTATATATATATATCCTTATATATATATTTATATGTATCTTTAATACAGTGAGTGGTGTATTAGCATCAGTAAGGTGACCTTCACAGGAAGAAATAGGACAAAGAAAAATAGAAGAAATAGAGAATAAATAGGGCAAATGTTGTTATCCCAGTGTTACACAGGGTTTGCATTTGGCTGCTCAAGAAGTATATTTACAGGGAGGAGCAGCCCGAGCCAGCACGGTACAGTCTGCAGAGGCAGAGAGCCTGTGGTAGGGACTGGTGCAGCTGGGACACGTAGGGCTCCATGGTTGTGTCTGTACTGCAGAATAGACCATGGTGAGGGGATGAAATCCTAGTGCTGCTGATTGTCCCCCATAGTAGATACTTGTTTTGCACGCTGGCACTGTTTTGGGTTGTCAGGTCCAAGTTTGATTTCCCCACTCTCCAAAAATATCATAAGATGCTTTACACCTTTAAGGCTTCTGCTACACCACAGAGCACGCAACCTATAGACTCAATTTCATGCTGATAAATGTTATTTCGAGTTGTGACATAGCCATCACATTATTCAAAATGCTCTGAACTGAGAATATTGTGCAGAGAAAAAATACATTTTAATAATAACAATACTTATGCATTCAGGCTACGGAGCAAATCCATTGAACTAAAGGGAAGCCCTGGGCCAAATGTTACGTAAAATGGCCAGGCAACACAAGTCAGAGCCTTAAGCTTTGCTTAGCAACATAAATACAGTCTGAATCCCCAACTTAGTACATCTGAGATGGTGTAAGACACTGCCTGGTACAGTGGAGTTTGTCATCTCTAGTCATTTTCTAGCAGTCAAACAAAGGTGGATAGGTCAAGAGGGGCACGCCATGCTCATGCTGCTTCTGAAATGACTCTTTAAGAGTCAAGCTGAAATATCTGATGCGGGAGCAAGAACTGAAACCTCTGGGCTCCCAGTCCTTGTGCTCCTCATCTTCAGAAAATGCTACACTGTAATACAGTAAAAGATTAAAAAAAAAAAAAAAGGCATCCAAAGAAGGTAAAATTTATGATTCGTGATGGCATACTATTTCTGCCTTCTCATCAATTCAGTGGGTAACTGCAATAGAACAGGACTAGTTCCGCTGTCTGGAGCCCCTGGGAACTATGACTTTATTTGCAGTAGAAGTTGGATTGAATTCTGAAGTAATACGAAATTTAAGTCAAATGCATTACTAAAATTATGTGTTATGAATGCATGAGGGATTAAAGAGTTCAAAAATAACAATTTACTCAAGTCAGCCTTGAGGATCAAAGCTTTGGCTTCACTGCTGTCTCAAGGTGGACTTAGTACCTCATGGAATAGTTTCATGGCTCAGCGCAATGTTGATAATTTGGCATTCAAAGCTGTCAACAGCATGGATTAATAAAGCATTTACAGTATCTTTAAAGCTGTTATTGGAAGCCAACTCTCATACCCTTCTGAGTGCAGCTGTAACTGTTTTGTTTCTGAATACAGAGTTTCTACGTTTTATTTTATTTATTTTTTATTAAGGAAAATATCCTTGAAAACATGGGAATAGGCAATTAAGGCCAGCAGGAAATGTATAAGGGAATTGTTGGTGGTCTAATCAGGGATTTAGTCTCCAGCAGGGGAGAAGTATTTTATAAATTAAATACAAGAGTAAATAGCATTATCATCACTTTGCAAATCAGGAACTGATTCAAAATCATTATTCATAGCCCAGGAGTTCTTGTCTTTCTTTTCTTAGCTAACTGCATCATGCCCCTTCCTCCAACAGAAGGGCAGGAAGATGTGTATAAACTGAACTTCTTAGCTGGGATTATCTCATAAGGCAACCTTAAAATTTGGCAGCAAGTCAAAGGTTTACAGCACATCACTAAATGAAGAATGAGGACAGTTCATGGTACCGCTATCAACTCTCTCTCCATCAACTTTCGAAAACCAGAGGTCAGGGTAATTATCTCCTTGTCACTTTAGGGGTCTTAGTCTGATCGCCTCATTTGCCACAACGTGCTATGGAAGCATATTCTAATGCTTGGGTAGTTTCAGGACAATGCAGTTCCCTCGCAAAGCTCCATGGGCCTTGCACAGCAAGCTTGCTCTCCATTTTGCAAAGAAAGGGTCTGATGCTCTATGTGTCTGGTTCCTCTCACTGAGTCTTCTCCAGAGTGAGAGGGAAATAGCACATGGGATTCCCCACCATGGACTTGCTGGGACTGAGCTCCAATCATTTTGAAAGCATGCTTAAGGAAATTAATACACTGTGTATTGAATAAGCTATACAGGTTTGGTGCCTTGAGCAGGAGATGTCCTAGACAGACCAGTGGAGTAATTGAGAGATGTATGGATAAAATGTAATTGCTAACTTCTAATATACATATGAACACTTAGACAAATTGAGAGAAAAGACAACATGACTACCTAACTATTATGAAAAATGGTATTCATGTTTTGTACAATTATGACTATATTAAAAAAGCCTATTTCAAGCAACCAATATGCAGATCTGAGTCAGGAGAGATTAATTGGTGGTATGAACACTTAAGCTATATAATTTACTCTGATTGAAGAGGCAATGCTAAAACGTGGAATTAGCAGATGCTGGCTGTAGTTTTGCTCTGAATCCGTTCTCTGAATGTGCTAGGTAAAACTCCCTTTATTCTAAACGCTGAAATACTTTAATCCCCGGGATTTGATTTGCATCTGTGTTTTTTGTTTCTTTGAATTATTCTTCAAGTGCTGTTGCTGTAGCAGTATCCAGTTCTGTGATGAAATGAAGCACATTCCAGATTCAGCTGTTAAAGTCTGTAAGGGGGCCCTTTGGCAAGATCAGACGGGGTCTTATTAAAAACACCCGATCCTTTCTGTTTAATGTTCAACACCACATTTTCTTTCTCCACAAACTCACTGGTCATAACAGGGCATGTCTCTGGGCATTCCACTAGGTGCTGTGAATTATTCACTGCCACGCTTCTCACCTCAGAACACAAAGTACGCATTGTGTATCACGCTGGCCCTAGCACTTCCTTAAATCCACATTTTCTGAGCCATCTCCCTAATTCCATTGGCAACGAACGAGTTAAAGAAATAGTCATTCACCCAAGCTCATATGTTCTGATCCAGAATTTGATTGCAGTATGGATGCCCCTGAAAATTGAAGTGTGAACTAAGGGAAGAGATAGATGAATTATTAAACTGCAGTATCTCAAATATGCACAATAAAAAACTGGCAGTGGTCAGAGTTCAATTGGGGGCCAACTTTTTCTGCACAGTATAGTTCTATTTCATTTGCTACAAGCACAGAAATTAAGCCTGGATGCCAGTATAGATGCTATGAAAATCTACCTTAATACTGTGAAGTCCAAAAGAATTAGCAGAGAGTGATCCTATTAAGGCTCTATCCAAAATGCCTAAACATGTGCAGTTAACATATGTTAAACTGAACACTGCTCTTACTATTATAAATGACTGCTTGCTGTCTTTGTCAGCAGAGTTGTGGCATTCATCCTGTCACAAAGAATAAGAATAAGATGACCATCTGCATTTCTGCAGAGTGATAGCTACCCAGAGTGGGTTCAATAAAAGAAAATTATGGCTTTGTGCATTGCTACAGCCAATAAATCACGAGCGGGTCTTGCATCAAGGCAAAAAATGAAAAATAACGTTTTGTGGAAAGACTCTCCATAGGGTACCAGCTGAGCAGCCCCTTGAATGATAATGCCCCTCCAAACAAAACAAGCATCATACAAAGATGGCAAATAATGACCTATTCACGAGGAATTGAGCATACCAGGTTGTTAGGGACACTGGTGGATATACATCGGGGGAAAACTAAAGGTTCCCTGATGTTCTTTCTGTGAAACAATGATGAAGCATAGACACAAGCTATCAGGCCATTTTCTAATCGGATTTCATTTTCTTCAAAATAATGCTCTTTAATGCTGGTTCAGTGTATCATTCCCGTCCCTTTTCTCTCACCTGGGGTATTCTGCAGCAGCATGTTCCTGTAGCCTGAAGGACTATTCTCTGTCTCCTGTGAATCAAAGGAGGGTGAAAGTTGGCCTCAGGGACCTCTTGGAGGTGATACAGGCCTTCCTTTCTGGGTTTGAATATGCTGTATTGGAGATATAGGTTCACTGAGCAGCCCTACCAGCCATATCACTGTAGGACCTCCAATTACCTTATTTGTCAAGTAATGAAAGTCTTTCTCAGAGGTGGAGAATCCAAAATCAACTGAAATCTAAGCAGGAGACAAGAATTTTTGGTCTCCTTAATCACTTCTTCCTAAATGCAGCTTTTTTTTTTTTTTTTTTTAATTATTATTATTATTATTTCTTCGTTCTGATGACTTTGAATCAGTGACTGGAGATCTGGTACTTCCCTCTCGGTTATCCTGAGTAAGGGTGGATTGCATGCATGGCTTTGCAAAAGAACACAAATATGTGCCAAATGAAGATGGAGTAAATGCTGTGGAAATGGTTTCTGAGTGAAGTTTTGACTGTTATTTTATAAATATTAGATGGGGTTTAAAACGCAGCTAGATATCTTATACATCTGACTGTAATACTAAACTACATTAGTATAAATCAAAAAGAAAGATTTTTATAATTTAAAGGCTATTTGCTGCAGTTTTCTTACAGCAATACATAAATGATGGTTTAAGGCCAAATTTTGATCTGAATGTAGTAGGAATAGCTTTAGGGGTCTCTGATGAAATCAGGTGTAATAGGGATCATACTGTGGCTTCATATATTCAGAACTCTACTCCTATCTATCTCTTTTTCAATTTTACAGTCTCTGCTTAAATACCATGGTAATTGTGAGTCAAGAAATGCCTTCGGGTGGATTTTCCCAAAGGACTCAGCATGATGTCAATGGGAACAGTGCTTTAGAAAACCTCAGCTTGAACAAATATAGAAAAGGACAACAATCATTGGAATTCGGTTATCTAAAGCCACTAGTAAGTGCACTGTGGGGATGAAGGGGGAGGAGGAGGGAAAATACTTTTTTTCGAATCCGAGTTTGTTATTTATCGAGAATTAATAAACGTTTGGACTGTATTTATTCTCTAACAGACCACTAGATGTCAGCACATATCCAGGCTATTGCAGTTGGACCAGCAATCATCTGGTAGTAAAAAACAACCTTCCACCCTGTAACGGTGTAGGTTGGATACCATACTGTTGCTGGCTATAAGTATTTTTGTTTGACTTCTTAAGACTTTCCAGTTCTCAAACTGTAGCTGTGACTATTGTAGCCATCAAAGTAGGAGGACTTTATGTATGTTAATTTGTGCACTCATTCTTGTCTCCTGAACTGCGTTCGTTGTCATCTGTGCTCCGTGCATTGCTCCTCAGGAAGCACTTCTCACATGGAAGTCTACCAGGTACAGCTTTAAAGGGGATGGCTCGTGTATTCGTAGCCAGATTTCATGGCCAAATTCTTTTGGAAGTTGGGAAAAGAAACAGAAATCTCAGCAAAACTTCAAATGCAATCATAGCATAGTCCAATGTGAAAATGATCTGTGAGATCAGGCAAGAAAACTAGTATATTCTGAATGTGCTCAACTCACCTGTGGTGCATATAAGAAATAATGAAAAAAAATTACATTATTATACATTCAGCCTATTTAAAATGCATAGACACAGTTCACTGCTTGCATTGTTTTTAAGTTAGATCAAAAGCCTTCTTGATCAATTTTGCCACACTGTAGTAACGATTAGAATTAGAAGTTGGCCATATATGTTCATATGTTGTGTATTCATTACTTGTATATATCTAGATCCAAATTCAAAGCAAAGAAGTGTTCTGGCAGTTTTGACAGGCAATCCATTTTTTCTAATCATCCGTGGCTGCAGAACAATTGTATTTTGGAAAATCAGATGCCTGAACTGAAAATTGCCACTTATTATTATTATTATTTTTTTCCCAATACAATGGAATTCAGGGTCCTTAATTGTTCCAGCAATTAAAACAGACTTTAACAACTGCTATGAACAGGAGTTAGAGGACATCATGTCACTGCTGAATCAGGCTGCAGGGAACTGTAGCACAACCCCTGCAGTGTTGTCAGTCCATTAGTTATGAATAAAGGGCTCCACGCTCCCCTGCATCGGAGGCACTCAGTTGAAGCATGCGTGCTCATTGCAGTACAGCTTACTTCCCTCCAGAGACTATCTGAAATGCCTGCCGAAGGGAGTTAGATGCTTCAGTTGAGCACCTGAAGCTACCTGGGGTGAAATTGGGTCCATAATATGAAGTTGTTGTGAAATGACTCGTCCTTTGGTCCAGGAGTGATTTACTAGTGGTAAATTTGCACTTGGAGTATTTGGCTTTCCCTGTCCCAGCCTGCCAAGGGTTCGCGGTGTGTGTTTTCAGTATACTGATGGTGAGGGGCAGAACATTCAGCAGGTTGCCAGGCTGAAGTGCATGCAGTAATCCACCTCTCCCGTGATGGCTGCACTGGTAAGAGCATCAGCCTGTGTAAGGACGTGCAGTATTTCAAAGCTGATAAAAACCCGAGAGAGTACGGGGAGGGAGATATGCAGAGGAAGGGGAAACTTGGAAATGAGTGAGATCAAGTCTGTTACCCTATTTTGCTCACAGAAAATGTATCCTATTGAACTATAAACTTGATGAAGTCACCCTATTCATACCGTGCTTAAGGCAGGTTGCCTAGCAGCAGAGATCTTAGCAGGACTGAGCCACAAACAATTTCTTGCTGTCCAGGTCTCATTTGTTATTAACATTTAGGATTCATAGGAATTTCCATGCAAAAGGTAGAAGAAAACAAGGTACAGTCCCCCCGGACCTCATCAAAGCAATGAAAACCTAGGTAGATTGGCTTTATTGCTCCTGGTAAATGAAGACTGCTTGGATTGCACACACCACCTCATCTTTTTCTGAGGTGAAAGGAAGGAATTGATCTGTTTGTTTAAACAGATTGCTGTAAATTCTGCCTGTTTGAGCAGGGTAAATAATGGTGAAAGGTGGTAAGAAGTTGAGGGGGAGTAACTGTTTGGTTTAAAAGTAAATTTCACTGTGACTACTTGATGTCTTCATGCCATGTGAATACCTGAGAAGTCTATGAGGAGACTGGCAGAATAAATATGAATGTTGGAGTCTGTTAGGAATAGTTTGCCTGCCTGAGATAAAATCAATGATTTTTATAATTAACCTCACTTGGCACCCTGATCCAAATTAGCACAACTGTGTACAGCTCTGTCCCCTGGCCCAAAGCTGAGGCTTGTTGTCAGCAATGCTAATGAAGTAATGATGGTATCCATTTAGGTGGTCAATGAGTAGAAAGAAGTTCAGCAAAGGGAAAGTTAGCCCTGCAGTTTTCCAGTCCATTCGCTGTTCCCTGTCACTTACAGAATCAGTTCAGAATTAATTGGCAAGATTTTGTCTCAGCCTCGATTCTTCTTCTCAAAATTGATCTTTCTCCATGCTTTACTTCTAAGGAAAGTCTTTGGCTTTGCCGAGTTCACACCCAGACAGACAGATAATGTTATAATGCTCACAAATTTTAAAGCTGGTAAAAGGTAGGATGATCACTTTTTGTGCTAATGTGGCACCTGGAAACATTTTCAGTCTGTTTGGTTCTAGAAGATAAGCTATGGTATCTGCTGGTGGAACCTCGCATATCCTCCTTACAGTCTATGCTGTGAATTAAAATCAGCAGATAGTTTGGCCGAATATTTCTGTAAACTTCTGTGATGCAATACAAAATATGTTGGTTCTTAGTGTGTGTTTTAGCTCATAAAATGGCAACCACCTCAAAATCCATTCAAATCTACCTCTATGGCTGATTCCTAATTTCCTTATTGAGGGTCTGTGACTTTTTCTTGGTAGCACTGCCTGGTATTCACATGCTATGTTCAGCTTTGTCTCATTTTAGTGAATAATTGTTAGTTAAAAATAAAACCAAAAAAGCATCAAGCATCAGCCACTCTGCTTTGCTGCTTAGGGCAGAAAAATATCTTCCTTTCTTTCCGAGTGAAAAAGCTTGTAGCAACTGATTTCATATTCACATCTTTAATGAGATGGAAACCTCTAGTCTCCAATTTGTCCATTGGACATAAATAGAGGGTACAAGCTGCAACAGGATCTATTTTGTCCCCTTCCTGACATCAGTTGCTTTTCCTTTTATAGATCTCTGTTTACACACAGAAGGACTCAAAAAAAATTAAAAAAACGTGTAATGATTATCCATGCTGGTGGACACTGGGATTCATAAAAAATAAGCAAAAATGTGCTAGAAATAAAGTACATATTTCTAACAAAGAAGATAATTCATCACTGGAAAACATTTACGTAGAATAGTGGTGGGTCCTTGATGACAGCTAAGCTATCTTTTATTTTTTTTTTAATCATGATTTGATGTTTTCTTCTGAAGGATTTGTTCTGGTTCAGTTGCACAAAATTATTGGACTTGAAGCAGGAATTAATAAGGGAAGTGTTATGGCTTGTAATATTTTGAAGTTCATTAACCATTAGTGTGAAATCATTAGTCCATTGCTAGGAGGAAATAGTCTAATAAGAGTGTCAACGCACAGTCCTTGCCTTTCCATGCCAAAGCCTTACTAAGAAATATCAAGGGAATTATGGAATCAGAGCTATGTTAATTAATTATATATTATATTTCTGAAGTGAGAATTTCTTCATGTAGATCACATCTTTCTATGCATGGCTTTTTGTTGTTGTTGTTTTATGCATCTTGCGAGTAGTCTTATTTGCTCTAAATAGGACTAGAGTCATTCATCAAATACCCACCATGGCCACATCTTTTTGGACAAGCCTGTTTGGGGAAACCATGTGCTTTCTGCCTGGTGTATTCACAACACCCAAATCTTTCTGTGTCAGGACAGCCATGGGCTGGGAGTGCTTTCATGTACTAAAGCAACACAGGAACTCTGCAAGTTGAATGATGGTACTAGTGTATTCCTAGTTATTAATTCTGGAGTAGTACGTGTATCTTTAAATGATGAATCAGACAGAATGAAGCTGGCTGTTAGAGTGCACTTGAAGTTAATTGAAGCCATGACTCATGCATTTGCATTTTTCTTTCCCACAAAGAATGTTTAAGTAAGACCCTTTGCTCCTTTTAAGATCTCAAAATCTGTGTCTAGCTACGTATCATAGAAGCTGCTGATCACAAGGTGCTTTAATCTGGTAGTGTTTGTATTGTGATTTGAACTTCTTCAACTCAAAAACTAACCAGATTTTTGGACAGCCTGACTCCTTTGGTGTCACGATTGGTAACCAGCCTATGGATTGTTTGTTTAAAAGACCCATCTCAGTAGGAAACAAATGTCTCTGAGATCTCAAGAGCTGACTGCTGAAGGTAGAGAACAGAACTGGTTATTCAGTTGCTGCAAGTCCAGGTCACTTGGCAAAGGGTTGGTTGCTCTTTGCTAGGAAAGGCCACATGTGGGCTACTGGGATTGTTCTGGGTCACAGGCTGTACTACATGTGAAAACTGTCTCCTTGCCTAAAGTCTAGTTCCTCATCATGCACACACATTGCTGAAGAAAAAGGCAACAAAAACCAATATAATTTCCTTTACTTCTTCTGTTTTATTTTTCTTGCTGAAAAGCAAATAAGGATCAAGTCACAGTGAGCAAACTGGAAGACTAGTTAATGTAAATACATGCAGCAAGTGACAGTCCTGTGCTCAGGAAACTTTCAAATTAAATAGAGCAGGCACTTGAAGAATAGGAAGAGAAACTATGACAGAAGAGTGACAGAATTGGTTGTATGTTACCTGGCAGTCAGGGACCAAACAGAGATCCTGTCTCCACCAGGCAAAAATGGACTGGCTTGAATTCCTGAAGTGTGAAAGCCTTGCAACAACAGATTACCTTTGTAAAATGTATCCTTCTTTATACCCTGGAAAAATAAAATCCTGCAGTATTCTGGAGTAAGGATATAATTTTCAACCAAGTTCTGCAGCTTGCT